TTCAAGAAGTCCCAGGACAAAGATGGTGGTAATTTTTCACTGTAACTTTCTATTGGCATGCCATCTCCTCTGGTAGATGATTATGAGGTCTGAGAATGCAAGTTTTTAAGGGGGAATGAGTTGCCAGACTCCTTTGTTGAAGTGGTTTTCTCAGTAGGGTGCTAGTGATTGTGAAGTGTTCAAACAGTAGACCAACACTGTACAGGAACTTTTAGACTGAGCCACAGTTTTGCTACATCATTTGAGTTCTACATAGTGGGCCCCCAAATAGTTACTTGCTTCAAAATAATCACACCACAAATCAAAGGTTACAATCTGGTGAGAACATTCTCTCAAAAAAGAAGTCTGGACATTTAATAAATATTTTCACTTTTGGGAAGATTTTCTTGGCAAATTCTCTTTCAGGTATCTTGGGAGCTTGTGAGGCTTAGACTGTTCCATCTTCTATGAGAAAAATGTCAACTCCATTATGTTGTGTGGGTTCCAGTTTGTATGGATTCTTTTAGGCCTCATTTACAAACCTTTGGGGAGAACAGACCAAATACAAATACAGACCAAATATGTGTGTACCTATTTGTACCTAATTTGATTCATGAAGCAATCTATCTCAGCCACTCTTATTCTATTAATAAGTTGGAACCCAGGTATCTTTATTGTGTGTGAGGGGAAAAAAAAAGGGACTTGAAACTGGTTATTTGGTTTTACACTGGAAAATACAAATTACTTAGACATGTGGTCAAGTCAGCAAGTTTGAAATGAAATGTTCTGAGTTCAATTAGGAGTACTACTTTGTGTTAAAGCTCTGCTCAAGTACTTAAACTACTGAATATCACATCACTTCACCACAGGAACATTTTCTGAGAAATGTGTCATTAGGTGTTTTCATCATTGCAGGGACATCACATGCATGTACTTACACAAACTAAGATGGCTGCAAGATTACTAGGGAATATAATCTTATGGGACTTCTATGGTATACACAGTTGACTGAAGTGTCATTATGCAGAACATGGCTTGTGTTTTATTTTTGAAGTTACATACCTTTGTCTAATTATTGTAGCCTTGGGATGAAGACATTCTGTCTGTCTGAGGGCAGGAAAATGGTGGAGAACAGAAAAGTTGAATTGTTCATTTTGTAAACTAACTTTCTATTTTTAGGTTGATTTGCTTTCTGTTATTTTTAGATACTCTGCAGTGAGAGAACAGTGTGAAATGTTGCTTTACTGTTAGTGGTGGTATCTGATGGGCAGTGTAGTTTCTGGAAATCGCCTGGTTCTGCTTTCTGGCTGCCATGCATGCGTCATTCTTCTTTCTCTTTCTCTCGCTTGTTCTTTTACCTTCAACCGTGTTGCTTGGGTAGTTCCATGGCAGACATTTCATTCTCAGGGCTTCCCAAAGTTGTATACCATTTGAAATTGTTCCATTTGAGGAAATACTTTTAAGAAGAGCTGGATGGCCTAGTTACCAAGAAAGAATGTCATGAGAAACATAAGCATTGAGTCCTAAACTACAAAACCAAGTGAGGAATGAGGCTGTTAATGATATGGCAATAGCTGGATCATAGTTACCATTTTTCCCACTATTAGAGAGGTTAAATAGTTTCCATAACCTGGAATTTGTGCCTCTGGGTTCAATCTTCAATGTTGCAAAAAAATTTTAAAAATCTATAACATGGAATGTGGGCAGGGTTCCTACCCTAATATGCAGTTGTTTGTCTCCAGCTATTTGTGGTGAATACGCAAAGAACTTTAAAATGCCCAGGCAGCCTTGAAAAAAGAAAAACTATATGGCTTTAGAGTTGTTGACAAAATATTTCTTAAAAAAAAATAAGCCTGATTTAGAAATATCTAAACATGGATAAAGTACTTTTAAATCTGACATGTAACTGCATGTGGCTTTTATAAGCAGTTTCTTAAAAGTAACTCTAACATGACTTATCAGTCCTATTTAAAACCACTTCTAAAAGCATCTTAGGAAGGGGTAGCTTTGGAGGGCTTTGCTTGACTATTTCAGATCTCAGCAGACCAATGCTTACAGTAGAAGAAAGTAGTCTTTGGTCAAAAACAACACTAAATCTTTTTGGCTTCAAACCATTCCTGAGATATTCCACCAGAGCTTTAACTGACCATCTCTGCAGATGGTCAATTCCTCTCTGAGAGAACATGATAGTGCCTGGGTTTGCTGTGCCTCTGATCAGTTGTTTCATATGCCTAGGTCCCTGTTAGTACACAATCTTAAGCTTGGGAGTTCAGTCTAGCACTCAAAAAGGATGCCTGATATTCTACAAAACCTGTAAATTGATGTTTTCAGAATAGCTATGAAAAAAGTCTCAAAAGATAGTTGATCTAGAGCTGGGGTTGTGGCTCAGCAGTGGAGTGCTTGCCTAACACTTGTGAGGCACTGGGTTTGATCCTCAGCACTACATAAAAATAAATGTATTGGGGCTGGGGTTGTGGCTCAGTGGTAGAGYGCTTGCCTAGCATGCATGAGGCACTGGGTTTGATCCTCAGAACCACATAAAAATAAAGGTATTGTATCCCCCACAACTAAAAAATAATATATTAAGAAAAATAATAAAAGTATTGTGTCCATCTACAACTAGGAAAAAAATTAGAAAAAGATGATTGACCTAAGTTCTTCAGGGCTTAAAAACAAAGGAAAAGTATATATTTTAAATTCAGCTTTCTTAACTACTGGCAATAGAAATTCACATTTTAAAAAGTCCAATTATAATTGCTCCGAGTGCCAGCCCACAATACTGACTCCATAGCACACATTTAAGAAGAGTATACAGGCCGGGCATGCTGGCACATGCCTATAATCCCAGTGGCCAGGAGGCTGAGACAGGAGGATCATGAGTTCAAAGCCAGCCTCAGCAAGGGGCACTAAGCAACTCTGCCTCTAAATAAAATACAGAATAGGACTGGGGATGTAGCTCAGTGGTTGAGTGCCCCTGAGTTCAATCCCCAGTTCCCTTTACCCACCCAACCCCAAAAGTGTACAGGGTTAAGGTTGTAGCTCAGTGGTGGAGCATTTGCCTCGCATGTGTGAGGACTGGGTTTTATCCTCAGCACCACATAATAACAAAGTTATTGTGTCCAACTTAAAAAATACTTAAAAAAAAGTATATAGAGAAGTACCACATTACTCTGGGTCTTACATTTTTTTGTGTTTGTATGGTGCTGGGGATGGAACCAGCAGCCTCATACACGCCAGGCAAGTGCTCTACCACTCAGCCCCTTGGGTCTTAAGATTTTTTTCATAATATGTTCTGGTGGTCCTGAAGAAAGCTATGGCTAACAGAGGAATTCTTATTCTGCTTGTGTGCTTTCCACTTCTTAGACCTTGAACACACAGAATCCTTTAGCTATTAAGAAACTCTTGGGCTGGAGATGTGGCTCAGCGGTAGCGCGCTCGCCTGGCATGCGTGCGGCCCGGGTTCGATCCTCAGCACCACATACCAACAAAGATGTTGTGTCCGCCGAGAACTAAAAAATAAATATTAAAAAAAAAAAAAAAATTAAAAAAAAAAAAAAAAAAAAAAAAGAAACTCTTATGTGAACACAATATAAAAAGTGTGGAAAATAAAGCAAAGTGAACTTTGCTGTGAAAGGGAAAATATGTAAATAAAATAGCCCTGTAGTTATAATAAGCCATTTAAAGATTTGAGTTTGAGAAAACTTCAATCTATATAAAACTGGGCAACGTCTTCATCTTGGATGAGAATAACCAGTTACAGCAACCACATTCTCTAACATTTTTAAAAAGATAGCATCTAATTTTTATATGCAATAGCATTTCTAAAGTTATTCTTTCAAAGGAGCATATATTCTCCATAGATTAAGTCATGCCATGAAACACATTCTGACTGCAATCTAAAGTGCAAGTCATGAGGCATGGCAACTTTGGTTATGTTACTGAGCTGTGTTGCCTACCCACAAAATGATTTTTTTTTTAAAGCCTCACCTCGAAGTCCGATACCAAAAAACATTGTGAAAAAATTGAGGCCTGTGAGACACTATAGATATAATCATGTTAGATCTTCGAGTTCTGGGAATGTGTATCTCCCGAGAAACTGTCAAACTATTGTCACTAAGCCAAACCTGAACCCACTTGAAGACCAATAATAATTATAGTTGTGCTATAGAAGGGGTCAAAGTCAATATTTAGAAACATTGCATTTTATTGAATTCTAGATCAGCTAGTCTATTCTCCTCTATAGACCAATGACAGTAAGATTGGAAGAAAATATATGAAAGTTAGTTAAGAATCTATTATCACTGTTCAAAATGTTGGAACAACTTTCACTGTACTAGTGAGGCATTAATAAGAGCCTAATGTCTACAATAATTCATTCTTGCTCAAAACAAGAAGTGATTTCATTTAGAGTTCTGAATTTATTCTCACTGATTTTGCTATTTGCATTAGTAAGGTTCTGGCTTAGAGTCCTTTTCCCATTCTCTAATGTTCAACTTTAAAATACAACAATCAACACTAGAGCTTAGAGAAATGTGGAATCGGGTAGCAGATGCCACAATTACAGCCCATCCTGATACATCTTACTTAACCATTCTCTAATATAAGAAGGTTTCTCCTCCTCTTTTCTGGGGGCTTGCTCCTTTGTCATTTCAGCTAAATTCCTTTACAGATTTATTACAGATGAGAAAAAGGTTTTAGATAACAAGTATTTGTGCTATCAACCTAAAAAAATGCAGAAAGAATAGGACTTTTATATGTCAAAACAGAATCCCTGCAGTCCACTCCAGACTGGTCCTAAAACAGAGAATACTTCTGCAAGGTTACTGACAGAGCAGCAGCCTTGCCAGTCATTGAGGACACTTTAAAGGCTTATGAAAGGAAACTTGACCTCAACAGAAGACTACACTCAATAATGGAAACAATATATTTCTCCACTGATATACAATACTGTGTAATGCACTGAAAAAGTTGGATTTTAAAGTAATAGAACAATTTGAAACAATACAGCATTTTTGGATGTCTTCCCACTGGTCCTTGTTACACTCGAAACCCTTCACCCTTAGTGTATCCAGATACACTATGACATACTGATCATAAAAGACAAGCAAACAGTGTCACAAGCCACATGGAACCATCTGCATGCAGTTCAGCCTGACTTTACCCTTACTTCCTTCCAACACAGACTCCATTACAATTCTGAGCCATCTGCAAAGAATATAGATACACAAAACTAAAACAAGTATCTCTCTATGATTAGAATATTTTAAAGTCTTTAGAAACTTTCCAGACGTACCTCTGATGGAGCACCCCCACCCTCCTCCCCAGTAGAACCCAAACAAGAACATCCTTTGCTCCTGTGGGTCCTGCCAGAACTTGTTTAATGGGTGTTCAGGGTTTTGGTTTTCCTCCTTATTCTTCCTCCTCCTCCTCCTCCTCCTCCTCCTCTTCATCATCATCTTCATCATGGCAGTGTGTAATTTCCTGGGGGGCCAGTGGGAAGAGGTTGGGGGGTTTAATCTCACTAATCGACCTTGTCAACTGGTGTCGCTTATAGTCGGTGTCTTTAAAATCCACTGATGTGCGGTTGCGGGTGGCAAGTGGGGATTCCATCTCATTGATATCTACGTGTGTGTGCTCCACTGTTGACTCATGAGGCATCTAGAACAAAGCAAGAAGCTCACTACATCCAGCAGAGCAAAAGAGATACTTCCCAAATCCTAACCCCTTTTCCCCTATTATGTGGCCATGTAGAGTTATATCAGACAAATCATTTAGATAGACCTTTACAAAACTACTACCTAAAACTGCCTCTCTTACTCTCTACTCCCAAAATAGTAAACCTATCCTTTACTACAGCTGGAAACTGGGTAAGACAGAGAAGACTATTATTTTCAATTTCACAGCCAGTCCTCAACAGCTCAATATCAGAACACAGGAATATAGAAACAAAATTTCTTTGAATTAATATTAACAAAAGAATAAAGTCTTCATCATTCACTGTAACTTGTAATAAACTTCAGAGAGTTAAGTTATATTCTCTAAGTTTCAATATCTTGATCATACTTWCTGAAAGGCCCTTGTGCAACCACATAATCTGACCCTAGGCTTTGCACATAAGAATGTTCAAATTGTCTCCTGTGCAGTCCCACAAAGCTGGTTGCAGATCTTGATCTTAAAGTGTATCTTAACTATCAAAAGTAACTTTATTTACCAGGACATGGGCAGCTCTGAAGAGATAACTGAATGGGTAATACAGCAGGTTGATGAAAGATGCGGCATAGAGATCAGCATAACGCATCACTTGACTGGCAAAGAGTGTCTGCCGGGAGCCACTACGAAATAGGCTTCCCATCATCCCATAGCACATATCCATGTCATGAGTTACTTTCTAAAAAAAAAAAAAAAATAACAAGATTGATTTTCAGTTCATTCAAGAAATTATTTATTGGGCACCAGCTATATGCCAGTCCCTGGAAAAAAATAAAAAATATGAAAATCATTTAACTCATTTTCTATTTTCTCTCAAATCTAGTTTTGATACCTTTATACGTCTCTGGATGGAACTAATGTCTGGGCGCTCATTGCTACTGCTGTCAAGGTGCCTGAAGATAAAGAGAAAAACCCTGTGAAAATCTCCAGAAAGAACATTTCTTACACCAAAGTGACTCCCAAAAAGGTAGATGGTTTTTAGGGAAGAAATTTTTAGAACTGAGAAACTTACTTGTAGAGTTCAGCCAAGAAAATATCCAAGCTCTGAAGTTCTTCAAAAAGGGCTAAAGTTTGGAAAAGAAAAGTACTCAGTTTTTAACTGACACTAAAACTTCAGTAAAAAGTTGTACACAGGACCCAATATATATAGCCTGGACCAACATGTCACAGGCAGGTGTATAAATGACCTCTATCTCCTTCAAGAAAACCCATGATAATCTGTTTGGAATGTGGCAGCAGCTCAACACCTTAAATTACCTTTTCTTCTATTTGAACACCACTGACTACAATTTTTTCTTCCATCTGTGTGCTCATTCTGAGCTTGCAAAATACCAATTCCTACCCTATCTCAGATGTAGTCAGCAAAAAGCAAGTGTTAGTAATCCCATTTTTAGATAAATCCAATGAGAATGAAGTGACTTGTCCAGGGTCACAAGTACAGGAAATAGTACAGCCAAATCAATTAGATTTCTGAATCTTCAAAGGTGGAAAGTTGAAAATACAGATGAAAGGACAGCCAGAAGATCCTACTGATAGTACAGACAACAGAGATAGCAACAGTATCTGCATGTTTTCCATCTGTTGTAACCCTTCTCAACCTGAGTTCCCCGAGGGAATTAAGCCCTAAGACATCTATTTTTTTTTTCTATTTAATGAATGTGAGGACAGAGAGATTCCAACATTTCCTACTGGTTCTCAGGAGGAGCCTTGGTTGAGAAGGGTTGTGATGTCTATCTTCTTTATACACATATTTCCTAAGTCTCATCAGCATTATGAGGTAGGTGCTATTATTATCATCCCCATTTCAATATTTGAGGAAAGTAAGGCACAGGGTATTCTCAGTAACTTGCCTAAGGGTATGCAGATTTTAAGCGATAGATTCAGGGTTATTACTCAAGGCAGGCCAAATTTCTAGAGTAACTTTCACCATATACTTGGTGATACTCAGTAGGGCTGCATGAAGAACTTGTGTATCAAACACCATTATGTAACTATATCCCCATAGCTCAATTTAATATAGTATATGTCCTGCAAATATACAGTGTGGCTCAGTCCAAGAATATAATTTGTCTTCATTCTCTATTTCTCAGAAGAGTAAATAAATACCAGGAGGTAATTAATGTTCAGAACTGTCACCCCCCAGAATCTCAGATAATATGGGCTGTTAGGAGAGAATGGCAACTAGACATGGTTGGAGAAATATGGACTGCAGAGGAAGTGGAGCACAGGTTAGCAATTACAAACTGTAATACAACATGTAGTACTATGCTCAGAGAACACCAAAGTTTTCACAGTGAGGTCTGACACCAACATTCTACACTTAACCTCAAAGGGATTTAAGAAGTTGAATAAGGGCTGGGATTATAGCTCAGTGGTAGATCACTTGCCTCCCACACGGGAAGCACTGGGTTTGATCCTTAACATCACATAAAAATAAAAAAAATAAAGGTATTATGTCCATCTATAACTAAAAAAAAAGAGCAAAATGGAAATTAAAAAGTTTGAATAAGATAATAACCTCTTATATTTATTAAAATTCTGGAATTCTGTGAAATAGATGAATATTCTAATAGGACTATCAAGGCCCATCTTTTGACCACATCCGATCCCCTGCACAGAAAGTAATGGTTTATCAAAAAGGAATGAATTCAAAGATGGCCATTTAGATATAAACTAGCTATTTCAAAGATTTATAAAACACAATAATATAACAGTCCCTTACAACTCTTGTCAGTCCAGACATGCAGCTCCTGTGCAAGTTCAGGAATCACCAAGAAAGTTCGCCACCCTTGCCGTTTCTTTGATTTTAAAATGTCTCCAAAAATGTGATCTCCAATATACAAAATATCTTTGCCCTTGGCTCCCAACAGATCACAGATTGTATCAGATGAACCTGAAACAATGAACATAAAAAGATCTCCATGTTAAAGCGAGCAAAGTCCTCACCCACTTAATACTGCGATTAATTTTACTCTTATTTAAGGGACAGACCTTTATTAAAGACAAAGACTTGCCATTCTTCCTACCACTCTTTTTATTGCCTGTAAGATGAAGTCTTCAGCTCTACTGTGCTGACTAGAACTCTAATACCAAATCCTACACAATTCTATCTCAGCTTAAGTAAATATAACCTTCAAAAGCAACATCACCATTTTTTTTTTTTATCACAGATCAGCCACTAAGTTAGCTTTGTTCAAGTGTTTAACATAATATGTATCTGTGCACACACAGGCTACTAGAAAACTCCTGAGACGCACCCAAAATTATTCCAAAAAGCTAAAATAAATAGGTAAAATAAAGAGGCAGTGGCGGGGGAAGGGGGTGGCTGAACCTACTAGTGAAAATAAAATTCTTTCTCCTTGATTTTTATCAATTTAGTGGGTGACTATTTACCTTTGGTAAACAGCATCTCTAAAATACTGAAGAGTACATGTAGCACTATGCTCAGAGAACACCAAATTTTCACAGTGAGGTCTAAGCGAAGATGATACTGTGCAAAAACATTAAATAAAATCTTTGGAAGTTTCTGACTTACCTCCTGAGTAGACGATGCCATGCTGTAGGGGGCCTGTGTATGTACCAATTTTCAGCTTGCCAGTTTTCTGTGTGAAAAGAATATGAACTTTGTAATACTTTATCATCCTGTTATAATCTACCTACAGCACTACTTGGCAGGCAGCCAAAGACATGGCACTCATTTTTTTCAATTATTAGTTTGGTTTGTTGGACTAACTTCAGTTTTAAGATCAAAACTATAAATTTTAAGAGAAATATGGCCATTAAATTAAAAGTATCTATTTTCTTAGGGAGAGTGGGAATGGGGGAAGAAGACAGATTACCCTCTCAACTTACAGTATCTACTTGACGCAATACTGTGCCTTCTCCAAAAAAGAGTGGTTTCCGTGCATCTACCAAGATCAGGTCAAAGTAGGACTGCCATGGTCGATGGGAGCTCCCAGGCTGGTGAAGGAGAACCAGTAAAAACCAAAATACCACTCCTTAACTTAAGACACTCACATGTAATCTTGTTCAAATATAAGGAATTCAGCAGTACTAAGTATAACCAGAAGATCTCACTATTTAATTTTTAAAAATGCACTGTGTCTAATTATAAATCACATCCTTCTGGAAACAGGTATAAATAATAAATAAACTCAAGTAATCTCTACAGCTGGGCGTGGTGGCACATGCCTATAATCCCAGCAGCTTGGGAGGCTGGGGCAGGAAGATCCCAAGTTCAAAGCCAGCCTCAGTAACTTAGTAAGGCCCTAAGCAATTCAGTGAGACCCTGTCTCTAAATAAAATATAAAAAAGGGCAGGGGGTGTGGCTCAGTGGTTAAGCGTTCTTAAGTTCAAATCCCTGGTTCCCCCCCAACCAAAGTAATCTCTACATTTTAAATCATTTAATCTCCTGAGTTCCAGTAACATATCACAGCAATTTAACATATGAAGGTGTGCTCACAATCTGAAATGTATGAAAAAGAGCTAGGGAGAGATATAAGTCAATACTCAAGGGACAGATTAAGAGGGAGGTTTGATCAGCATTAGAACTACAGTATATAAACTATTATGGACCATATCAGGAAATTTTATTTGTTCTTAGAGTGATGGTTCTAGGTATATACTAGTCTTTGGTTCATATAACAAAGTAGTCACAATAATGTAGAAGTTATGCCCATTAAAATTATTTCTATCCTGAAGAGAAGTGCACATTAATTTGGGGTGATCTCAAAACAGGGATCTGCTGATTTTTATTCATAGAAGTCTAGGAATCAAATTCTACAAGTATATGACTAAGTTGTAATGGGTGTTCCTTAAATCTAAATATAGCCATATTGTGGGAATGAAGACTTCTTTGCTAAATACCAAAGTTAACTATTCTTTGGGCACAAAACTCAGCAATGACTTAACAGCAGAATATAGAAACTGTCAAGAACACATATAAATTTTCTGTTCCTATTAACCAAATATATTTCTCAACCTGAAAATTACTTTCATTGCTATACAAACTTGATAATTCCACACAGAACTTCTTAGGCATGAAATTATTCTGATCCAATCTTACTAAATTCCACTTGAATATCCTTTTGTTATTTCAATCTGCTGAATATTCAAATTGCTAATTGTTTTTCTTTTGTTAATGAGAATTAAAGAAAAGGTTTAAAATCTAGGACTATTCTGGGTAGTTCCCACCCAATTCCTTCCCCTAAATATTCCTGAATGATTAAATGCATTCATTATTACTACAGCAACGATCTATTAAGTTAATGAAATACCTTGGGGCCATGTGGGAAATCAAACAGGTAAGTCATAATTTTCTGGAAAAAAAATGCAAAATAAGGTTCACATACTACTTTTGCAAAGGATATGCAATAATTAAAAAAAAATCAAAACCTTTTCATAAAATGTCTTTTTTCAATATAGAATTCATTCACCACATTCTTGTCTCTTCTAGTTTATGACAGTGGAAGCTAGAAATTAATACTTCATCATACGAGACAACCCTCCCCCCAAAAAACCCCCACAAAACCTTATGAGATTCTCAGATCTATACAGATTCATACATATATCCCTATCTATTTTTCCTAGAACACAAAATTTGAGATAAGGGGCATATAAGGTAGGGACACAGAGAAAAACTAATGACTTATGGAATAATATATTTTAAAGTTTTTACAAAAATGAACTGGAGGGAGAACTTTTTACTAACACTACTAATTTGTAATTGTCTCAGCAGAAGTAAATAAGGAATTAATATTAGTTTTTTCACATGCTTTCATCACACTAAAAAACAATTTTAAAAATAAGAGGTAGTGGGCCGGGGCTGTGGCTCAGTGGTTGGGCACTTGCCTCGCAAGCGTGAGGCACTCAGTTTGAACCTCGGCACCACATACAAAAAATAAGTACATAAAATAAAGATACTGTATTCATCTACAACTAAAAAAATATTTTTTAAAAACAGAGGTAGTAAATTCTGATATCTAAAATTCAAAAAATCTTTGTACCACTTACTACTATGGAGCTTCCAACATCAGGGAAGTACAGAAAGTAAAGGGTACGATTTCTTAGGTTTATATAAATGATGCTCCAAAGAGACACAGAAGCCATTTTAATCAGCACAAATATTTTAAATAGTCCCAAAATTAAAATCTTCAAGTAACCAACTATAATCAGGGAAAAGAGTCATAAAGAATAGAAAAAATTAGAAGGATTCTGATATGGCCCTTCTCCCTATACAGTTTTGCTTTTTTTACTCTGCTTTCAAAATAAGATGACAGAAACTACTTTCATTTAAAAACTTCTGTCCTCCTCATTATTTTCAAGGTTCTTTAAGCCAAAATAATTTCTCTGCATAATCAAAAAATATGAATATTAAGCACTTACATCTGTATATTTATAGTCACTGTTGGTGGCAAGAAATACTTTCCCTACTTCCTTCATCCGGCTCAAAAGCAAAGGCAGTTTTCCCTGAAATGCAGTAAAAACAAAACACTAAAACACAAATACTTTCATTTTGAGGTAGTCATATACTAGATTTTTGTCCCCTAAAATAGGGGGTAGGGTAAGTCTTTTAAAGATTAGTTGTTGGTTTCAGAATTTTGCATTTAAAAGCTCCCATAAGCGCTATACATGAAAAAAAATCTTAATATATGTAGTATACAAACTGTACATGGCATCTAGATTCATATGTAAAATGACTATAAGGACATTAACATATTTCCACCTTTCTCATATGGTCTACCTCAAGAAAGAGTTTAAATTACCTGTGATTTCCTGAAGTATACGAGTTAGATGTGTTAGAAATCCGGAGAAGTTTAATATTTTAAACAACACCAGCAAATTTGCTATTGGAGATTATTAGATATAGCCACATTACGTATATACTAGGGTTTTACAAGCACCTTGCAGAATGTAATGGCAAGTCCAGATAAATCTAGAAATGCCCATGCCCACCTGCAGATAAGAAAACTCTAACTGCTGATATGTTTCTTTAACTGGAAAGAAAAACACCTTTTCCTTCTCTCACAATAAATAAATAGGTTCCTTTGCACAATTCTGAACTATTTTGGTTTGGATATGAGGTATCTCCCAAAAGCTCAGGTGTGAGACAATGCAAGAAGGTTTAGAGAAGAAATGATTGGGTTAGAAGAGCCTTAACCCAATTAATGAATTAATCACCTGATGGGACTGAACTGTAACTGAAGGCAGGGGCTGTGTGGCTGGAAGAGGTGGGGCACTGTGGGCATGGCTCTGGGATATATTTTTTGTCTGGTGAGTGGAGTCTCTCTCTCTGCTTTCTGATCATCATGTGTGTGAGCCCTTCCCTCTGCCACACTCTTCTGCCATAATGTTCAGCCTCACCTTGAGCCCTGAGGAATGGAGCCTAYTGCCTCTGAAACTGTGAGCCCCCAGTTAAACTCCCTCCTCTAAAATTCTTCTGGTTGGGTCCTATAGTCACAGCAGCAAAAAAAGCTGACTAAAACATGGACCCTCCCCACTTACTGTTCTTCTTTGAAACAATGTGGGAAGGAGAGTGAAATAGGAAGTACAAATTCTGAAAATAAAAAATCTTTACTGTAGTGCTTGGAGAAAATATTGTATTCTGCTATTTACATGCTATAGAAAAGAAAGAAATGTCTGAACTTGGGACTCTGTATGTGTTAACTTTTTATTTTGAAACAATTTTAGCTTATAGAAAAGTTATAGAGGGATTGGGGTTGTGGCTCAGAGATAGAGTGCTCGCCTAGCATGCGTGAGGCACTGGGTTCGATCCTCAGCACCATATAAACAAATAGATACTGTGGTCCACCCAAACTAAAAAGTAAAAAAAAAAGTTATTGAAATAAGAGTTCCCCAGTATTCTTCCTTAAGCTTTTATTAATAGTAACATCTTATTTAATCACAGTATAATTGCCAAACCTAAAATATTGGTAAGATACTATTAATTTATTACATTATATTTTTAAAAAATGTAATGTTTCCCACTAATCTTTTAAGGTATTTTAAAGCCTTCCTCAATATTTCCTATTGATAAGTTAAAGGTATTTTATTTTTCAAAAAAAATTTTTTAAGTTCTTGATGGTTCTTTTTTTAACTTACACGCAGTGCTGAGAATCAAACCCAGTGCTTCACACCTGCTAGGCAAGCACTCTACCACTGAGCCACAACCCCAGCCCAAGGTATTTAAATAACAGTCATATACATGTACATTTTTTTAGATGGTCCAGTGTCTAGTATAATGCTTCTTATTTAAGTCATATTTGGGTGTGAATCTTGCCTTTACTACTTACTAACTGTGTAATCTTAGGGAAGATATTTAATTCCTCTATTTCTTAGTTTTTTCATTTATAAAACAGATATAACAATAATATATTAGATGATATAATGGTGATATACACACAGTAACCCCCTAGTTGCTATGTTATAATTAGATCTACAAGGACAAGTGAAATACTAGGTCTTCTTGCTTACTGATCACACAAAAAACTAAGACCTATGTTCTAGTTATTCTTGGTAATTATACCTTGCACATATTATGTCACAACAAAGAAGTATCTTCCTTGTCCATTTCATTATGAACAGGCTTATTATTCATTTCTTTAATAGGTAAAATAAGCTATGTAGATCTGTTTCTCCCTTAATTACTTACATCTTTGACTACATACTTCTCAAGATTTTCAACTGTCTTTTCCTTAAGGGAGCCCTGGTGAAAAGAAAAAAAAAAAAGCTAAGAAAATAACAAAATAAGTTTTTTTTTAACATTTAGTTCACAATAAAAATTGTGTTTACTGTCAACCAGAATGAACTTAAGTGTTTACCCAAATGGAAAAAACAAATAAAACTAGAGGGTTAGGAAAAAGTAGTAGATATGATTTGCTGCAACTCTGCCACCAAAATCTGTCTTCAAATATGAAACTGGCTACTTTTCTGCAAAGATTTGTTAAATATAATCTTTTACACGAAAATCTCTAGTAAGTGAGTTTGAGAAATGAAAACTCAATAAAATCTAGAAGCCAAGTTTCACCAAGTGAGGAAAGGTGGCTAGGATGACCAAACAAGAACAAATATATTCTAGAGATCTATCATCCGTTTTTACCCCCAACCCGTTTTTATAAATGGAAGAAAAATTTTGCTCCATTTGCACTTGAAAAGTAAAGACATGCCAGACAGTAAGCAGGGGAAGAAGCAGCTTTTGAGTACCTTGTAATGAACCCAGTCAACAGCATCTCTTACATCTTGGAACATACTCCGGTAGGACATGAAGAGGTCCCCATCTTTAAATCCTGTCTCACAGCTACAGAAAGATAAAAAGAATGTGACAGGGAATTCAAAAGAGGATAAATAAAATGAATGACAAAAGTTACCCAGGGGACTCAAAGATTCCAATATCATATGGGTATGGCTGTGGCTAATTAGGAAAATAATTACTCCCTAATAAAAATCCATTTTTGACCACCAGAAATTGCCATATGTTCAATGGAATACAATAACTCTGAACAAATACAAAATGATAGAATAATATTTAGAATGGAAGCTAAAAGGTCAAAGTAATAAAATATCTGGTTTTTATTCATAACTTTTTAGAAACAGGTTCTCACTGAAGAAACATCTAAAACGTACAATTGGTCATTTAGGTTCTTTCTACCCTGACTTCTTTCTGACATTGTCCCTAGGTAAAAAGATAATGTCCATTTTCTTAGTGACTCAGCCTTCCACCAAATTTAGTGTCTTGAAGTGGGTAAGGACTAACATAAGAAGTTAGCAAACTCTGACATATATGGCTACAACTTCAGCAAAGGCTATCCAATTCCCTATAAAAATAGAGGATAATTTATTCAAGACTTAAGCAAAAAATTGCTTCAGGGAAAATAAGCAGTATTTATTCCTCAATGAAATCTTGCTGGGCCTGGGAATGAAACTAAATTACCATCCCTGAATGGCTCCTGGGTAGCTGCTGTGAAATGAGTCGGGGGTTTTAGTGTAATTCTGCTTGGACAGATAATCATCACACAAACCTCCCACTCAGTTGTCACAATTAGCACCTCTGCTGGCCGTCTTCATTCCCAGGAGAAGCCAATCAGAAGTGGTCCCTTCCAAACATGGCTGCAGCACACTGGCAAGGAGAGGGGCCGTGTGGGAGGTGAGAGCCTGCATGGAGCTGCTGGTGCTGTCCCATCTCCAGGCTGGTAATGTGGCATCTCTCACTAGCACTAAATTCACTTTAGAAAAGCAGAAAAGACCTACAATGGCCAGTTCTCTAAAACCCTGTACATTAATTTTAAAAATCAACTGGAAAAAGAAAATTGTAGCATATACACACCTGGTATATCTGGGACAATTAGTAAAAAAATCTACTAGGCAGGCCAACAGGTAGGTCTCTGAAAAATGAAGAATAGATATTCATAAGCTATAAGTGAAATAATTCACACATTTTATTATCTCCTTTGAGCAAAGACAAATAATTATGGAAAGAAGAGATAGTACCAATATATAAGCATAGAATGAGTCTACCTGGTAGATTGAATAGTGTGTTCAGAATGTAAAATCTTTCAGTGTCATCTCGTTGAATAAATTTATTTGGATACTGCTCTCTAGTTTCTGGCCTGAAAGAAAAATTTTAAAAATTGACATTCAAAACATTAACATGACTGGAGAATATTCATTATTCAAAAATTAATTCTAGGGGCTGGGGTTGTGGCTCAGTGGTAGAGCACTTGCCTAGCACATGCGAGGCACTGGGTTTGATCCTCAGCACCACATAAAAACAAATAGAGAAAAGTATTGTGTTCATTTACAACTAAAAAAAAAAAAAGAATAATTCATTCAAATATTTTGATGGTTATGTACAACACAGGGTTCCAAATATTAAACATAGGTAACTAGAAGATGAACAAGCTCAGGTTCTAGCCTTAAAGAGTTCTCAGTCTGGGAGGGAGAAACATACACATTTAAGTATAATAAGATTTTTTTAAAAATCACAACTACTACAAGAAAGCTGCAAAGAGCTGTAAGAAAACTGAGGAAGGGGAAATCATTTCAACTTAAGGGGTAGAGAGAAGCAAATGAGAGAAGGATAGGAAAATCTAGGATTCATGAAAGAGGTGACATATAACCTAAGCATTAAAAGCCTTAAAAGCTAAGAGGACCAGCTGAGAAACAAGTCCAATTTTAGTACAGGTAGTGAAGCAGAGGAAAAAAAAAAAAAAAAAAAAAACAGCCAGAAAGATGGGCTGAGGCAGATTATGCCACTGTTCTTACACTTCATTCAGGAATAAGACAGTATTACTTAAGTTTTTACACAAAGGGATTCAACTCATCAGAATTAAATTTTAAGAAGATTAAATTGATATCAGTTTTGGAATAAAGTGCAGAAAGAAAATGCAATAAATGGCCCAAAATTCTTCCCAACACTTTGCAATGCAACTTTATGGTTTTTCCCATTAGAACTTCAGTCTATTTCTTCATCCTTAAACATAGGTGTAAATAGCAGCAAATGAGATCTAAGCAAAATTGGAAGACACTGTGCACAATGGCTTGCCCTCTCCTGCTGCACATGGAATCCTGAGACTACTATGTGAATAACAGTGAAATGGTCCACTAGGAGATAAAAGGATACATAAAGAAATGAGGAACACAGCCAACAGCCTGCCAGTTGCCAGACATGTGAGTGAGGTTATTCTAGATCAGCTGCCAGCTGATCCACCAGCTGACTACAGACATAAGAAACAGCCCAGAGATATCAGCTGAACAATCCTAGAATTGCACAGCTGACTTTCATAATTTTGAGCTAAATAAAATAGTCACTATTTTTTTAAGTTGCTAATGAAACTTTATTTTATTTATTTATATGCAGTGCTGAGAATCAAACCTAGTGCCCCACACATGCTAGGCAGGCACTCTACTACTGGGCCACCACCCTAGCCCCCAAATAGTCATTATTTTAAGTCACCAAGTTTGGGAATAATTTATTATGCAGCAAAAACCAACTATAGAAAGTAACAGAAAATCAGTTAGGTGGTTAATGCAGTAGTCATGAGACTAAGTAGAGCCTGTCCTAGCATGCTATCAGAGGAAAATAAAGGAATAAATGCATTTTGAGAGACTGCTGAGGAAATGAGTAAGACCAGGCAACTGTATGGGTGTGGTAAATGAGAGACCTAAGAGTCAAAAATAATAACAATTATGCTTAGGTATCTCTTGAGAAGTGATTGGAACTGCTAATAAAACATGATGGCTCTAGGTTTAATCCCCAGTACTACAAAAAAAAAAAAAAAAAAAAGAAAGAAAGAAAGAAAGAAAAAAAAATCTGGATAAGAAGTGGACATAAAAGTAGTTCTATTTTGGCTATACTAAGCTTGAAGTAAAAAAGATTCATAGTAGGCAATCAGAAACAAAGATCAAGATTTTAAAACAAAGAGTCAAATCTGAAAGATAAATGGAATCATATATACACCAGTAATAGATGAAATCATGAAAACTAATAAACTGAAATTGGAACCATGGAGGAAAGTCAGTGAAAGAGAAATTAAGTTAAATATGCACAAGAAGCTTGTGAGTGAAATGAAATACAAGAAAAAGAAGGGAACAATATTAATAAAAAATATTTCAGAAAAGCTAAAACAGACAAAGACTAAAATATGAAGATGTAAAATTCTCAAGCCAGATGTGGTGTGACACACCTGTAACCCCAGCGGCCCAGGAGGCTGAGGCAGGAGGACTGCAAGTTCAAAGCCAGCCTCAGCAAAAGCATGGCACTCAATGACTAAATGAGACCCTGTCTCTGAATAAAATACAAAATAGGGCTGGGGATGTGGCTCAGTGGTCAAGTACCCCGAGTTCAATCCCTGGCACCCAAATAAATAGATAGATAGATAAATTAATTAATTAATTATAGTTCTCAGTGAATATATGAAAATTAACAAATCTAAATAAAAGAAATCAAAGTTGGGGCTGGGGATGTGGCTCAAGCAGTAGCGCGCTCGCCTGGCATGCATGCGGCCCGGGTTCGATCCTGAGCACCACATACAAACAAAGATGTTGTGTCCGCCGGTAACTAAAAAATAAATATTAAAATTCTCTCTCTCTGTGTCTCTCTCTCTTTAAAAAAAAAAAAAAAGAAATCAAAGTTAACACTGAGTGACTTGGGTAAATTTCTGCTTCAATTTGTTAACTGCAAATGGCATAAATTCCAGTTAGGCATATAAAATCTTATTATCATCCTGTCTTAGTTTCCTCTTAGTCATCCTTCTGAAATAAGAGGTCCTAATAAAAAATAACTTTGTAGAATACCTCATCTTCTAGTCTTCCAAATTTTATGTAATGAAAAATAAGAAGGAAGGGAATAACAATACATATTCCTCAGTGAAGTTTAGTAAGATGACATTGTTTTCTTAAGTGTAATACACTGTTCCATCAGTAAAGAGCAATTCCTCTATAGAGATAGTTAACATTTATTAGGCAGTTACTACCCAAATTGACATATATGCAGTTAGAAATTATATTTTGTTTAAATATCAAATCATGCTTGTATGTATTTAAAATTAAAAAATCAACTCAAGGAGAGATAATACACCATAAAAGTAGGACAGTGCACTCAGAGTAGGAAGAAAATAATTTAGTGCAGATTACTGCTAACTTTCTGTGACCCACAAAATAACAGCTTTTTTGGGGCTGGAGTTGGAGCTCTGTGGTAGAGCGCTTGTTTCGTACGTATGAGGCACTGCGTTCAATTCCCAGAACACATATAAATAAGCAAATAAAATAAAGATCCATCAACAACTAAAATATATTTTTAAAAAATAACTTAATTTTCTGAAAAATTAATTTCCAAATTATTAGCAAAACATGTGATGCCAGATGAAGCCCTGACTTCTTTTGGCCCTGTCCATCAATAACCATTTCTCCCATTTTATCCATCTTGTTTCTCCTTTCCAAGGACTCTCCCTTTTGACTCAAAGAACTGTAGTGTGTTGTTTGAATGATTCTGCATTTACTCATAAATTACATGTTTTTGAAACACCATTAAATATGTTTCCAGAGGAGCTACTTGGAAACTTTACTGAGGAAGAGAGGCAGGTGGTTGTGAATCTTGAATTAGTGAATGTGACTGAAAAGCTAAATTAATGAACTGCTTTTCTTCTCCATCTACCCCTCCATTAATACAAAAATTCCTTTTCAGACATTTGAAAACTGGTTCATCCTCATTGGTATTCTGAATAAAAACGACAACATTTGTAAATAAAAGAGCTTAGGTTACTAGTACTACATGTAGTCATTTTATGTTTAAATCCTGCTTCTTGATATTTGTGGATGTTGAAAAACCCCAATGAAAGAACAGTGGATATAACCTTTCTGGCCTGCCCAGATAGGTCAAGGTGGATGTTTACTTCACACTGTTCTCAGTACGTATTATATGGGACATCTCTGAGCATATGTAATGTCAATAATACCTGAAGAGTATTATATCAGATGGTCAAATTCTAAGTGGGTCATCACTATGACTTCAGATTTAAAAAGTTTGGTACAATGTCTTCTGGCAAGTACCTTTTGTRATAAGAGGCACTCAGTTACCTCCTACCTCTTACCACAAAAGGTATTTGCCAAAAGACATTGTCTTTCTATTTACAACTCTGCTGTCAAGAATGAATAACAGCCAGGTAAAGTGGCACACACCTGTGAAGACAACAGGATCCAGTCTGTGTAACTTAGGGAGATCCTGTCTCAAAATAAAATGGAAAAGGTCTGGGGATGTAGTTCAGTGACAGAGTACTTGCCTTGCATGTGCAATGCCCTGGGTTCAATCCTTAGTACTCCAAAATAAATAGATAAATAAAAATAGAAGTTGCTGTTCTGTCATACTGTGTCAGTATGTAAATACTGTGTCAGGCAGTAAATAGAGAAAACACAAAGTCATAATTATAGCTGTTGTTAAATTGTGATATTGTGATTTTTTTAAAGAAAAAACTGATATGTTTCACTAAAAAAATTGTATATACCAAATGTTTTTATCTGCTGTTTTCCAGGTTGAAAACTCAAATTAGTGACATAATATCCTGATTATGAAAATAAAGTTTATCCTTGTTTTATATATTATTACTCCCTCTTTTTTTTTGAGTTGGGTAATAAATGTAGATGCAAATTATATTTTGTTTAAAGTAAGTGAATTTTAGTTATATAGCATCCAGYAAAGCTTTTTTCCTTCTTCTTTTTACAGTACTACTATGGATTAAAGCCAGGGCTTCATGCATGCCAGGCAAGTGCTCCACCATTGAGTTATATCCTCAACCCCCTTGTATTTTTATTTTAAGACAGGGTCTGAGCAAATTGGCCCAGGCTGCCCTCAAACTTATGATCCTCCTTAGCCTTCCAGAATCTGGGGTGTGCGCCACTATACCTGGATCAACAGAGTTAACCTTGAAACTTGTTTGAGCTCAAAGACCCTTCTGTCTCAGCCTCCTATGTAGATGGAAATACAGGCACACGCCACTATGCCCAGCTTTTCTTGTATTCATTTTTTTTTAATATTTATTTTTTAGCTGTAGTTGGACACAATACCTTTGTTTTATTTATTTTTATATGGTGCTAAGGATGAACCTAGGGTCTCGCATGTGCTAAGTGAGCCCTCTACTGCTGAGCCACAACTCCATCCTCCTTATATTCATTTTTATCCCTATGTTTAAAAAAATTTTTTTAACCGTATGAATATCTGAAGCTATTTATTAGAACGTTAAGAAACAATGTATTAGCTTTTAAAAATCTTTATTAAATTGCTATAGTTTAACCACTGAGCCACATCGCCAGCCCATTCCCCTGCTTTTCGTATTTTTTATTTTGAGACAGGGTCTGGCTAAATTGCTGAGAGCCTAGCTAAGTTGCTGAGGCTGGCTTTGAACTTGTGATCCTCCACAAGTTCAAAGGTCTCACACATGGTAGGCAAAAGTGCTTTATCATTGAGCTACATCCCCAGTCCAGGAATAATTCTTTAAAATAAATAGGAAAGTACATCTCATCTGGAAAGACAATGTCATTTTCATATTGTTTGACTATAGAAAAAACAAACTCTAGAAAGAGACTGAACATTCTTTGTACTTACCCTCTTATGAAGTTAAATCCATGTGCACAGACCAAGAGGTTTCCATAGGCATCGACTTTCAAAAGATTTCCATATAATGTGTCAAAGACAAGTCCTCTGTGTGAAAATAATGGCATCATTGATAATGCAAAGTAATATGTGCAATAGTTTTATATAGTACTACTCAATCACCACAAGCCAACCTCCTCTAACTCAAGCTTTGTATCGACTTAGGTGTATTCTAAAACAATATAACCTTAGAGGCTAAAGTATGTAAATAAAATCTTTAAAATAAATCCCAGAGCAATTACAAATATTTATTCCAGATAAGTAATCATAAATGTTTTCTATTATGAATAAGGGCTTAATCAAACAGTATAAACTATAATTTCTATCAATACAACTGATATCATTCTAAAATAGTCTTTCCATTTCCTGGGATAAGTGAGCTGCCCTATATTTCTCTCTTTAAAAAAAAATTATTTTTTAATTGTAGTTGGACACAATAGCTTTATTTTATTTATTTATTTTTATGTGGTGCTGAAGATCTCCCACATGCTAGGCGAGTGCTCTGCCACTGAGCCACAACTCCAGCCCCGATATTTCTCTTTTTGACACTGTGAGATATATATATCATGGTATTTCAAATAAATATCATCTTTCTTTTTTGAGGGGTGCATACTGGGAATTTAATCACTGAATACCTCCCAAGCCCTTTTCAGTTTTTATTTTGAGACAGCGTCTCACTTAGTTGCTGAGCTGGCTTTGAACCTGTGATCCTCCTGCCTCAGTCTCTGGAGCCACTGAAATTATAGGTGTGTACTACCACACCTGGCAATATCATCTTCTGTAATTTTAATTTTGGGGGGAAGGGGGCAGTACTGAGAGTACTGGGGATTGATCCTGGAGCATTAAACATACTAGCCAAGCACTCTACACCTAAGCTACATCCCCAGCCCTTTTTTTCTATATTTTATTTGAAAATGTGGTTTTGCTAAATTGCTCAGGCAGGCCTCAAACTTGCAATTCTGCTGCCTTAGCCTCCCAAATCACTGAGATTATGGGCATGCCTTACAACACCCAGTTTAACCCTAAATCTTCCCTATCAAATCCAGAAATGCAAACTGTCTAAGGTGGCTCTAAGTATCCAGTAATTGTATTAGTAAAACACATAACTGCTCTCTAAAAGCCAAAGGTAGGACAGATAGGACCATCTGTGATGCTGCCCATCAGGATATTGGTTTTGGTACTAGAGATTGAACCTGGGCGGTTTACCACGGAATTACATTCACAGTGTTTTTTATTTTTTGAGACCAACTCTCACTAAGTTACTGAAGCTGGCCTCGATCTTCTAAGTCTCCTGCTTCTGCTTCCCACATCACTGGAATTACAGACATGCACCACTGCGCCAAGCACCATCAGGTGCTTTCTCACATCCCTAAGTAGGTCATCTTCAACAGCAATAAACCGAGTTCAATTCAAGAACACAGAAGATATAGTATATATGAAAGGTTTGTGGTAATTCTAGAATTAATACCAACCCCAAACAACAAGGTATTATGTRATGTATTCTTTGAGTCAGGGATAAATTTGGAATTACTAATTTGAGGGATAGAGGAAGTGGTCTTAAGATAAAAATATCTTGAAAAATTACCTGGTAGGGAATGTAGAATCATAAGCAAAGCTGAGCAGCTCCTGGGGGTAGCCAATAGAAACTAATCTCTCCACAGTAAGCTCAAAGCCAAGGGATTCATACTCCGGGGACTTGTATACTGCACAAAGAGGAGGTTCTTATTAGTCAGCATAAAGAACAGCCCTTTAAAAGAAGGCAAACAAGTGTGTTTCTACTCTTTCCTAATTCTTCCTTCCTCCTCAGTCTGCCATTTCGTTTTTTCCCCCTCAAATTCTATGTTCTGCACAGCCCCCATTAATTAAGAGAATTCAATTATTAATCTGTAGAAATCATTCATATTATATCAGGAGCAGCAGTTAAAAGAAGTATCAAACATTTCAAAAKAGTTCCTTCATTCTCAGAAAACCTAAACATTTTTTTTCTTTTATCTACTCTTTCACTCTCACAATCTGAAGGCAAAAAGAATATAGCTGTGATATTAACTGTAAGAAAATAAGTAAACAGAAAAGTAGATAAGAGAAGTCTGGGTTTGTCAAAGGCTTCAGTGATGTTCATAATTGACGTAGGAATCTTCAAAATGAGCTTTTTTTAAGTTTATTTATTAAATTCCTATTTGGTTTAATATTTGCTTTATACTCCTTTAATCAATATATCTGTTCTACTTGTCAGATTAACTTGTGTTTTGTCAGCTCTAACAATGTTACAGGCTTCAAAATTGCATTTTATAAAGAATTAGTACAAACCAACCAGAAAAAGACATGCCTGAGACAACATATGAACTGGGAATTAGATATTAAAGAATCATGACTTCTTTTATTAGACATGATTATGGCAGGGTAGATACATGCAAGTATGTGTAAAAAAAAAATATATATATATATATATATATATTTCTCTTTATCTGCTAAAAAAGCACGGATTTCAGATTATAGAGATTTCTCTCTACTACTGTATATGTCTGAAATTTTCCACAATGAAAAAACTTTTTAGAATTATCACTGTAGTTCACCATAAAGAAAATGTTGCTCCTTTAAATAGGCTTCTCCCAAATGAAATATTTAGGTTACTAATATTCCATCAGTTTCTAGGAATAGGTAAGCCGCACTGAAAATAAAATAAAGACCTGCTTAATTTGTTTAATGCCAAATATGGCAATTAAACAATTATCCACCCTATCCACCCTATTTTTGCAGTCTCACAATAATGCAGCAATTATTATAGTTCTTCCATCTATTATTAATATCTGCTTAGCCTATAGCTCAAACTGATTTTTTTTATTTGATACTTTTAGATATACATGATAGTAGGGTGTATTTTGACATATTATACATACATGGAGAGCAACACATTCCAATTAGGATCCCATTCTTGTGGTTGTACATGATGTGGATCAAACTGATTTTTCATTGCAATTAGTTTGCCTGTTCAAACTAGTGTTAATATTTTAGTGAGTACAGTTCAACTTTCCCTTTCTAAAAGTAATCTTTAGAATATTTTCAGAACTATATAAGAAGCTGGTAATGCTACTTGTCTCCAAAAAAGGGAAGTGAATGGCAATGTTACAAGGTAAGGAAGGAGAGCTCCATGTATGCTCTGTACCTTTAAAACTTGTAACATATTGATGTAGTTATCTGTTTTTTAAATTGAAATTTTAAAAAAAGCAAGCTGGTCTTTTAAAATCCTTTAATAAACATTGTCAGATTAAAAGAAAAATTCTAAGGTGCTTCTAGAGATCCTTGCATTTCATCTCATCAGAACAACACCAAAAGAAGTCATATTTTTTCCTTTTGTTGTTTTGGGGGTAATAGTAATCCAATGCTAATAACTCTAGATAACATTTTCAAAGCTGGTTGTATTTATTTCCCCCTCAACTCCTGCTTTATACCCCATTCCACCCTCCCTCCCAACACAAACATACACACACATACACACACCTTAAAATCTCATGTGTGGAATTCCTGAATCTGTAGGACACACACTGCAGTAAAGGAAGTGCTACATGTACAAAAATGTTAACAGAGTAAAAGCTGATGACCCAGTAAGGCCTGCTACCCAATGACGTAAATTTGAGTTAGGCTGAAAATATAAACTAACATTTCTCACCTGGCTTTCCCTGCCATGTCTCCCACCGATTGCCAGTTGTCCCCACTTAACAAAATTACCATAAAACAAAAATTGCTTCTTCCTAACCAAAGCCTCAGTTATTTCAAACAATACTTAATGACATAAAATTCCTGTACAGATAAATAATTTGGGTAACCTACCAACATTAATTGGTACAAAATGTTTTCTATTAGTTTTTCAGGAGGATAATTTGTGGTATTAAGAATGGAGAATGAAAAATAAATCATAACCACCCTCATACAAGCTCACCTCTAAATCACCAATTTTCCCTAGTTAGTCATTATGGAGTGATGGAGTAATCTGGGATTGTAAACTATGTATATGAGACAATTTGGACTGAAGAGTTCAAATTAATTTACTGAGAATTTTTTAGTGAGAAAAAATACAGGGGAAAAAATCTCAATTCCCCATTTTTCTAGTGTATAAGAAAATAAAACACTATATATTTATTTGCCACACTGCATTTATTCACAAGGCAGAATATCCAAGTGTTCAACTGAGGTGACTTTCTAGAAGTTCAACCTAGAAATAAGTGCTTTCAAAATTTCCTTTCCTTCAATGAGTTCAGGGTACTTCCCAGAAACAGGATATATTTTCCCTATATGCTAACCTGAAGTTACACTACCAAGTACAAATAGCACTCAAATCAGAATTTAGATTTCTGAGTTTCATCCCAAACTCTCTCTGGTGGGGAATACAACCACTGCTATGAATTTATACATTTCATAACCATCAAACTTTAAGCTTGGATGCTGAAATATGCTACTTCAATTTCTTTCAACTGGTCCAAAATAAAGTGATCTAGTTTCAGGTGGGAATCAATCTCTTAAAGTCCAAGTTCCATTTTCATAACATCATCTTTTTTATTAAGCTGTAAGACCCACAAAAGTTCAGATATTTTCTCATAAGCTTACTGGATAACCAATTCAGTAATACAAACTCTGGGTTATTAAATCATCTGATAGCTGTACAAAATACAACCCCTACTTTAGAAGTAGAACTGAAGCTTTTCAGGGCATGAATTTATGTTCTATTCTGTTTTCCCTTGGGAGTAAATATTTTTTTCTTCTGATCTGTTGATAAAAATTCCTGAAGCTTAAAGAGTACCACCATTCCTTAAAAAAGTAAAGATTAAAAAGCAGAACTCTTTTTCTGATTAACCAGACCCTTCAAAGCCAGTCTCCATTTGCAGGCAACTGTATCTATCACCTCAGACTGTGGAGCTCTATGCCTCTCTACAGTTTGTACAAAGGCTCTAATTTCAATTTCTTACAAAACGGTGGCAAGTAAATGATGCAGAGTTTTAAGTTCAACTCTTAAAGTTAACCTTCTGTGGTTCCAAAACCTACCCTGAAACTTCAGGGTAAGTATAACCTTGCACATTAACTGCTTATTTATTCTCTAARATGGTCTTCGGGGCTACCCCCAACTTACTCAATATCCAAAGACAAAGAAAGAAATTGTTTTAAGGGCCAGAGTCCAAAAAAGAGGACTGCTTCAGCCACTAGGACAGCACAGAGTGTTCTCAGGTTACGTAACTAGACTATAAAGAGAACAACCAAAGCTTTGAAAGTTGAAGCTACTGAGAGCATTTAAAGATACTCTTTACTCCATAATCTGCAAGGGAGAAAAAAACAAAAACAAAAAACAGCTCTTCAAAAATAACTGTGTTGTGGGGATGAAAGTTGTAGGCTTTGTTCTGAGTAGATGCAGCTCACACAAAAAAGAATCTACAGAATGAGCAGAAACTTCCTTCGGGGAAATTTGGAATTCTCATGCATTTTTTACCTTTGCCACCAAGATATACTGTGTAGTAATTTATAGATTTCAGAAAAATAATGGGCAAACCTCTACAGAGGTTCCAGCCTAGCAGAGTGCTGCTGCCAAAATGAGAACTCACATGAGGCAGATGCAGATGCAGTGTGTGTCACTCCAGTCTTGAAGGAGTTACACTGGCTCTCCTGTTAAAAAAAACAAAACAAAGCAACAAAACAAAACAAAAACAAAAACAAAAGCTGGTTTTAAAACTGTTGTGATGGGCTGGAACAGAGAGACACCATTTGGAAATTGGTATTTATTGGAGTTACCACTGACCTCCAATTTAGAAGCCTCTGATCATCACTAAAATTAAGCTAATTTGCCAATGAGAGTTTTGAAGATAAGCCTAAGCATTGTGTATTATTTCTTTTTCTGGCACCCTGAGTCTGGAAATACAAGCCAATTCTGATCCTGACATATTAAGCCAAAAGAAAACAGAAAAATAAATCCATTTGTCTTAGATTATTTTCTCTAGCACATTTCAGGTTAGTAGAATAGAAAACAAATGCAGCTGGTAAATGGTGTTTAAAATTGAACAATGTCTAGAGAGAGATTAAATTAAGGATACAAAAACAAACCAAAGCAGTACATCTTGCTTTCAAGTATCCATTTAAGTTGAGTCTACCTATACCAACTTCTCTACCTTCTAACACCTAAATCCGTCATCTTGATATGGACTAGAACCAACTGCATGCTGCAGATGTCTAGACGTGGAATGGAAGAAGGGGAAAAGGTTTTTTTATTCTGTCAGTGGATATTTGTCCTCAGTAAATGTTATTACAATAATCTTTATAAGGGTCCAGGAAATTACCTAGTCTAGTAAAAATACTGAGCTAAAGATACATACATAATCCTTTAAATATATTGATACTTTAGGGGCTAGAGTTGTAGCTCAGTGGTAGAATGCTTGCCTAGCATATGTGAGGCATTCATTGGGTTCAATTCTCAGCATCACATATAAATAAATAAAAAGGTCTACTAACAATTTAAAAAAAAAATTTTAAATATATTGAAACTTTAAAGATACCCTTACAGGGAGTCATTTTCCCCAGAGACATTTACATTTTGAAAACATGTGGTTGGACTCCTCCAACTCCTGGGAGGTGTGTGAGGGGTTATTCAATAGAAAGGTAGAAATGGTCAAATGTAATGCCTAAAAGTTCTGAAAACACTACAACTGGAAGAAACCACAATTAA